AGTTAATGCCAAGTTCACACTTCACCATTTCCTTCTAAAGTAAGTAGTAGCTTATAGTCTGCTGTCAGGTCTGTTGCTAATTTAGACCAGCTAATTTAGATCAGGATGAGCTTCTGCTTCATGCCCCAGTTTAGACATCCATCTCTGTGGCTTTCTTCTCAGCAACTGCTCTTGCCATCCATCAGAAATCACCACGTGAGTGCCATGTGGTGTAATATTTGCCTGAAACACGAGAGGAGGTCTTTGGAGGAAAGCCAGATGACATGGAAATGGAAGGGGTGTCAGAGGGATGCTGCTAGATGTGTACATTTTCTATTTAGCCCTGCTAGCCATTTTCGTACCTGGTTTGTGTTGGTTCAAAACTGTGTCATGATGTGTTTTGGAAAGACATGTCATGATGTGTTGATTGGCAGGCCTTTCTCAGCTTGGCTGCTAGGATGTGGCAAGCGAGGAAGGGCAAACTGTGTCATAAAAGTGAACAGTATTAAGGTCTGGCGTTTCTCTTGTGAACGGTGAATAAGGAAATGATTTGACTTTTTCACAGGAGAACCTGTAGTCTGTGTGTGCTGACCATAGGCAGCTGAGCGAAGCACCATGACAAGCCATCCACCAGGTGAGAGAACAGATACAGCTATGAAAACCAGCCAGTGTACCCCCAAGAATAAGCCCAACTTGCTTTTCTTGTTTGGCAGGTAGTTATCTGTCTCTCACCACCACATGGAGAGACATCAGCAGTAACTGTCCCATCAGGTTCTGCTGACCTTTCTTTCTCAAGTGAGATTCTGAGGTTTTATTTGGAACAATAACTGATGTAAAGCATTCTCTGTCCAAATCATCGCTAGACCTGTAAGCTGATGTGGCCCTGGTTTGTGATCCTGAGTGCAGATTTTCCCACTTGGGCCCTAGCTTTGCAATAAATGAGCACAAAATCACAGACCTTAATGCTCCAGCCTTTGGGCGCACTTAGAGCCTGTAGTACTACAATGAATGGGTCCTTTAGAGTCCAAGAGGAGCTGAGCACAAACAGTTACTGTTCTACAGGGGGGCAATGCAGATGGAGAGACTGTTTCTGAAGGACAAACATGTTATCTTAATTGAGTGTATTTTTCCTTGCCTTTCTAGTAAAATCCCTCAAGAAATCTTCTGTCCCAGGAGTTGTTATCACCCAGTTTGTGGATGATATTCCAGAAGGATGCAGTACACCTGACTTTGAGCGGAAACCTGTCACTCTGACGTTGCAGGAAGGTGAGATTCTTGAAAAACAGTCAAAGCTACAGAACTGGAGGTTTGATTCCATGTCTCACCTACATGGAACAATTATCATAATTAAATCAAGCTAGTTTCTATCTAAAGAGATTTGACTAGACCAGAAAAAAATGTTGTATGGCCAAAGTCTTTGTTGTACTGATGGAAATTCCATCAGTATTAATAGAGGTCTCCTGAGTTTTCACTAGTGTATGCAAGATCAAAATCTGTCTCCCAATGGACACAACAAATTCTGCAGAGCGCTCTCAAAATGAGTATTTTGCAGCAAAAGGATAAGCACATTGAAAAAGTTGTTTATTTTCCTGTTGAACTAACTTGTATTATGAGGGTTCAGCACTAAAATTAATAGCTTTTTAAAGTAAGATATACTGACTGCAGATGCTGTTCAGGCTGTACTACTTCAAGAAGCAATATGGATCTTGCATAGAGTACAGAGACGGCAGCTAATGAGCCGAGACCTAAAATCAATGGGAAGCCTTCCAGTAATCTCTCTGCACTTGCAGAGCGTTATATGTTATTTTTTTCTGGATCGGGAAATCCTGAGGAGATCGTGTAGCTCCTCTTCCCTCACAAGACTGAAACATTTCTTGCAGCCTGGATTTCAGTGCTGTCACACTCATCTGTTGATTTTCACGAGCCATTGAGATTTTAGGAAGGAGCACAGTGGCCTCTAGTGGTGCATCCCTCCTCCTCCTCTGCCTTCCTTCCACCTCCAAGTTTCAGCTATGAACCAAGGTGGTGGTCAGTCACCCTGTCTAAATTTTCCAGGTTATTTAATTTACGGTAAGTTCCCCGTAGTTCATACACAAAATGTGAGGGCATTCAGGTTGGTCACTGTGTAAACTGAATTCAGTGTCTATGCAGATGCACGATGAGTGTCTAATTATATCATCACTGCCCCACTGCATTCAGTGCATGGATTAGCTGATACCCTTAGCTGCGGAGCTGTGTCCTGTGACAGATGGCACACATGGGAAATTGCAGCCAGAGCAGCTAAAATTTGACAAAAGGAATAATCAATTGGAAACAGACTTTACTAATAGGTAGTTCTGCAATTTCAGACAAAGTTGGTCAATGCCTTTTGATAAGAATCTGTTGTCAGGAGCTTGCTGCATCAAATAAGTTTTTTGGTGGTGACTGTAGAAGGGTGGGGGAAATACCGCAAGACTTCCTGGGGAGAATTTTTAACGGTGTTGGTCACCTGAAGACCAAAACTATTGCAAAAGAAAGATGGCAATCACTTCCACCCTGAGCAGCATCCATGGATAACTCATCTCCATTTCTGTTCCCCTGTGACACTCCCACTTACCTACACAAGTCACTTCCCTGATGTCTTGTTTCATGGTGTTTCCTATGTCTTTGAAGCCTTTTGGAAGAAAAAGAAAGGTTTGCACTAGGCAGAGATAAAGCTGTTGGAGATTTCTGTGGGCAGCTGCAGTAAACTCAGGTTTTTAGGGGAGCAGAGATGAAAGAGAGCGCTCACAGGTAAACCCCATCCTCTGCTCCCTTCCTTGCCTCTTTGAATAGCAGAGCCTGGTGTGGTTGGAGTGCAAGGTGGTGCCAGGCCAGCAGGCAAGGAAGGTATTGTAGAAAGATGACATGGAGGGAGTGCGTGGGGAAACACCCTACCCTGCATGGGTCTTCACAGTTGTGGTGCAGTGTTGTCTGTTAAGAACATGTTTTCTTAAGTGTGGAGATGGGGTATAATCCTGTTTCCACCTCCTAATGAATCCAAAAGGGACTTATTCCACCCTTTTTATCACCACAAAGGGAATACTCTGCAAGAATGGAGAAGCAAGGGGAGCTTGTAGGGGAATATGTGTGTGATGAGAATGGATTTGGGCATTTTGTGTTGCCAGAAGCAAGTCTGGGCTGAACTTTCTATAATGTCACTGATTTCAGAAATGATCAGAGGATGTTAGCAGTCATGTCTGGCAGGCTAACACCACATTTTAAAGGCCTTTTTATGATTGAATACAGGCAAACCCTGTAGGCAAAAGGTAGCCCAGCCTGGACTTGAGCTGATAACTGCTTGCTCTTTGGCCCTGCCCAAATATTGAGGGAGTTCAGAATCAGAACAAGATACCAAAAAATTGCTCTCTTGGCTATGTAATTTCTCTATCTGCGTGACTGTGCAATAAAAACAGGCAGAGCATCAGTGGTGCATGCTAAAGATAGTTTTCAAGTCATCTCTTCAAAAGCCAGTGAGTTAGAGTGGAGATTATGGCAAATGTCTTGCAAAAATGTGGGCATTTAATGAAACTTAGACTGGTAATTTAGGCATCTTTTACAGAGAAAACAAAAAGATATAATTATTTTCAAAGAATGTTTCTGCCTAAAACAACAGAGGTGTCTCACTCTGGGGATCACTCTATTGGTAATGGAAGGGGCCTGGTATGAGAGTCCTCGTGTTCAAGCCTGTTTTAAATAACTCATTTCCTGCCTCTTTTCAAAGGTAAAAATGCCATTTTCAGAGCTGTGGTCAAAGGTGTCCCAACCCCTGATGTGAAATGGACGCGTATACAAGGAGGAATGGATGATCCTGTCAAATACAAAACATTCTTCAACAACATTACAAATGAATTCATTCTGCAGGTAAAGATCAAATATTTCAGACAGGACTCATGGAACAGAGAGAAAGGAAAGGAAAAAGCTGCAGTGGGCTGATCTAGATGTCACCAGGTCTGAGATAACACAAAGATAAGCAAATAAAGCTTTTAGAATCATTCTGGGAACAAAAGAAAGATCTGAGATGTCATTGAGTAGCTGTTTTATTACAAGCTGAAGGTGTGTGAACTGAGCCAAGCACATTGCTGTGATCTCTTACTGTGTTCTTCTTTTTAAGATAAATGAAATCACTACAGATGACAGTGATTTGTACCGTTGCTTTGCTGTGAATGAATACGGGGAAGCTGCGTGCTCTGCTGGCCTCAGGATCATACAAGGTAGGATTGACAGGCTGTGTGCTCCAAAGGTCCTGTGGTCCCCAGGAGTTGGCTTTTCTGTCCTCTGGGGGTGGGTGCCCAGAGCATTTCCTAAATATCCTTGGTGTGAAGGTCTACTTTTCCGCTTGCTGAGGACTGGAGGTCTTCTGTGACTCCCTCCACTTTGGTGGTTCCATGACAGGAATAGCAAGGGAGAAAAAAGCGGTATTGTGGTCACTGCACTGCACCATAATCAGAAGCTCTGGATTTAGTGTTGAGTTGTCTCAATCCTTTTTTTATGATGTTGGACGAATCAGTCTTTTGGAAGGGATCCATCTCACTTCACTTGAGATGTCTACGGTGTCCACCTGACCTAGGCCCCTGGTTCCCTTTATAGTCAGTGGAGAGAAATGGGCACTTGTGGGTAAAAGCTATCCAACCTTTTCTTGGAATCTACTTGAGCAGGAGGTGGACTATGCTGGAAGCATCCGTTTCACCTGTGTGCCTGTAAAGTAAGTTTAGAAGGCAATTATCTGCATTTGGCCAGATAATCCTTGCACCTTGGCTCCCCATCTCTAAACCAAGATGTTAGTATTTCCTACCATTGCTTAAACCATAAGCTTCATAGGGCAGAAACGGTCTCCTCCACTGTGTAGTGTATCCAGTAAGCAGAGTCGATTGCAATAGAAATATTGCATTTATAGGTGGAGATTCCTGGGAGTCAATGTCAGATTAATAAGGAAATCTGACCTAGGATTGTCTCTTGCATTGGTAACAGATGCAGAGGTTTTATAGTTCATTGGTTTACTGGCATTAGTCTGACTGTTATCTTGTTCATCTTACGGCTTGTTTTTCCTCTGTTTTCTCTTACAAACTATCAGTTCGCTTTAAAAGGAAAGCAAAATATGTTCCTGTTCATCCTGCTGATGGTAAGTTCGAGTTAGACGTATGTATTTGGGGAGGGTGGGGGCAGGTGCAGGGGCATAGTTAATAATCCTCTGTATTACTGCATTATTACTGCCCCAAACTTGTAAAGTATAAAGTAAGGGAAGGGTTAATGAATCTCCAATGTTCTGTCATCTCTTTCTGCTTGATATTTACCTTTGGGTAACATGGTGATCTTACTCATGGCCTTGAGCTCTTCTAATTAACGATTCTGGAGTCATTAATGCTAGAAAAGGATTTTGTAATGTCAAATACGGCTGGATCAAGCATGTTAACAAGGCTGGAAAATAGTGGGGTTTTAGAGTATCCTGTCTAGAAAGAGAGGAAAGCCACCTAGGAAGTGATGAACTTCAATGGCACTTAAAGGACATGAGTATGGCAGAGAAAACCGGCTCTAAGTGTCACAAGAATTTTTTTGTGAAGCATGAAAACATTGCCAGAGGTAAACAGCATAGTAGAACGGCCTGTTGTCAGTGGCTATTTTACATTACCTTCTTTTTGGGGTATATTTTACAGTCTTGGGTATCTGAATGTTTGTTGTTTCCCTGCCCCTTTAATAGAATTAAAGAAGAAGCTTCAGGACTTCAGGAAGCTGCTGCGGAAGCGGTAAGGCTCCGTAATGAAGGCCATTGTTCCACTTCCTAGATGGTTCTTGACGATAGGGGACAGCTTCATAGATCTTCAAGGCAACATTTTTGTTTCCAAGGTTGTTGTGAGACTCAATATGGAGAGACATAACAGAACAGTTTGCCACTGTCTGTGAGGCTGAGGTAAACATAAGGCACCAATCTTGTTTTGAGGTGTATGTTCCTCTGCACCACAAGATGTTGACTGAAAAGATCTGTTTCTCTGCTTTCCTGTTTTTTATCACAAGTAAGTTCCTGGCTAAGCAACAAGTCTTCATGTAACGATCTTTCTGGCTAATCAGGGACTGAGCCCTGGCTCCCAGGCCAACTGCACAGACAGCCACGTGCACATTGCTGAAATCCTGCTACTTCCCAGGTGGGAACCTCCAAGGGTTGCCTAATGGGATTCTCTGGCCTGTGCAAAATCCTGAACTGTGCTGAGAAATTACTTGGGGGAGTGCAAGTTGGCCTGGGCCAAACTGTGCCAGCGACTCTGCTGATAATTTAACAGTGTGGACAACTGCTTTACAGTCTTGCCCTTATGGCCCACGTCAAGACGGTTCCCTGGCAGCATTTAATTTGTAGTATTTGTGCAGAAAACCTGTTCTGGAAGAGCCCCATTCTTTCTTGCCTACATCTATAGGGCCAGGTGAACTATGGAAATGATGGAGAGAGAGATGAAAGAGGATTAAGTATAGAAAACCAAGACATCTTGTTGTCTGTCAAAATGTCTAGACTTTTTTTTTTTTCCCCATGGTTCTAAGGGCCCCAGCACCAAAACCAAAACCCTTGGACAAAGAAGCAGTCTGGCAACTGTTGCTGCATGCAGATAGGAGAGATTATGAGAAAATATGTATGAAATATGGAATTGTTGACTTCCGTGGGATGCTGAGAAAGCTGCAGGAGATGAGGAAGGACACAGAGAGTGAACAAGGAGAGGTAAAATAAACTGAAGCCACTGAAAGCACTGATTTTTAACAAACTGCAGAGTCCTACAGTTCTTCAGTACCTTCTGAAAACAGGCTAAACCTTCCTAAACTGCTTTGTAGATGAAAATTTTGTTGTAATGCAGTGAATTATTTATGGTAAAGTTTTAAAGAAGTCCTAATTCTATAGTCATGCAGATGAAAATGCTATTGACTTTTTTGAAGTTCGCTTCATAAATTTTAGGAGGTACTGACCTTGGGGTAATCCTTGTATTAAACCACATGGCTAAATTCTGGATTCAGTTGCCTCTGATGACAATTTGGACCCCAATTTGAAAAGTTATATGCCTGAGAGTCAAAATTGGCCTTCAGATACAGAGGCATGTAGAAACCTGGACGGATAGTGGTTGCATGGTGTGTGAATGACCAGGAGGTAGCGTGTAAAATATAATTTGCCTGCAGGAGGAAACTGTGGAAACTTACAAGTGCTTCTTCTGCACGTATAAAGTTAGAGGTAACTCTTTTCTATGCAGATAAAAAGTAGATTTCATGTTAGTTCAACAGCTTAAGAACTTCTGTCATGGCAGCCTTGTCATTTACTAGGTTCTTGTATCTCTCTTTGCAGTTAATAAACAGCATCAAAAACTTTGAACACATCAAAGTCAATAAGGAGGGGAAAGCTACGTTCAGTCTGGAGATGGACCTGAAAAACAGAAACAGCAAAGTTTATCTGCTTAAGGTGAGGGGGTGAGAGGAGTTGACTAGCTCATAGCAGCCACTGAAGTCTTCCACATAAAATGCTTGATCAGCTGGGTAGCGGCTGAGAGCAAATAAGCTTCTTAAAGTTGTCGGTCCTGTGCAGAATCCTTGGTTGGTTAGGGCCAGGTGTTGGTGTGAGGGTCCAGGTAGTACTTGGTGGTGAATATCACTTGGGATTTGTAGATCCAAGTCCAGGGAAAACAGCTACTGACATCCTTTTGACTTCAAGAGCTCTTCTGGTGAGAGGAAATTCTGTCTTTCATTATGCAGAAATTCTGCAGTCTCATATAAGAAAACCAGACTGATGTTATTCACTTTCTCAGTTGTTTTATTGCACTATAATTCACTTCTGTGAAAGAAGATCTCATGTAAAGCATCGCATCCAGTTCTGTAGTTCTTCTGTTGTGATCCCCAGGTGATCAGTGCTGTGGATGTTTTTCTGGAAAATATGTTTCAAACTGTGGTTAGTGGCTTTAGCACAGGGGAAATCGGACTTCATTAAAGAGAAGGTCTGACTAACTCTATGAACTTCTGCATCAAATGCGTGACACAAAGTCTATGCAGGCACCACGTGGAGAAAGCAACCCAAGCCTATTACACATAAGAAAGTGGTGAACTCAGCTGCTTTATCCATCTATGAGGATGCTAAAATCTAGGCAAAGAAAGTACTTTGTCTTCGAAGTTACGGTGACTGTGTATTAGTTAAGCTTCAAAAGCTTATGTGAGCAAATACTATTGTTTTGCCTAATTTGAGAGCCTGATGTGGACTAAGTAAGCAGGACTTACTGCATATGGTATTGCCCGTGTGTTACACAGGCAATGAGCCCTGTCCGCTGTAAGCGGAGTGTAGACTTCTCTGTTGTTTCTCATCTATATCAATAAAGCGATCATAGCACAAATTTGTCCTGATTTGTTTGAAATGCCTTGCACTAGCTGTGCATTGCCTTTAAGAGTATATTCTATCTCTTCCTTAGGATGGTGAGAGGCTCAGGTATGGAACAGGGGATGAATACAGAAAGCACTGCCTGAGGCGAATTGGGAAAAGGTATAATTTCATTGTCAACGATGTACAGCCAGAAGATGCAGGCTTGTATCAAGTCAGAGTGGAGGACGTACCTGTTTTCTCAACTGAACTGGATGCTGAATGTAAGGAATTGAGTTCGATGTATGCGATGTGCAGCTGTAACAAGAAATTATTATTGTTTTGCTGGAAAATTTTATCTAGGAGCATATGCAAAGCTCAGCAGTAAAACCTGGTAACTCCAGAAGACGGGTTTTGTTTTGCCAGATAAGGGCTCCTTACATGACATGGGTGAAAAAGAGCAGGAGGGTGCTACGGGTGTTGCATTTGTAGTCCAGAGGACTAGGTTCAAGTGCCAGTCTGGCTCTGAGTTCTGGATGACAGCGAGCAAATTCCTTAACTTACCCCATGCTATATTTTGCTTTTGTAAGCTCAGAATGGTAACTACCACCTTGATACAAGCATCATGCAGCTGAAATATGCTAATGACCGCAAATTATCAGCACGTCACAGGGATGTGTGGTATAAATGTCTCAGAAGACAATAAAGACAAAAATCTACTTTTGTGCTTTTCTGTGCTGTAGACTTGGGCACAGAAGCACGTCTCAGTTTTTCCTTTTTCTGCTTAAATTAATGCTCACAGGCACGGTGAGCTCCTGTCTGTCTGTCTTCCTTCAGCTGCAACAAGTTTTTCTTGGAAGACAGAAATAGCTCTCTGTTTCCTTTCTATAGCTTTTGGTTTTTCCGTTGTAGCCATCCCTGTGAGATTTGAGCAGCCGCTCAGTGACGTGCGTTGTCCCGAGGAAGAAGATGCTGTCTTTGAGTGTACGCTACGCACGCCCTGCTACGATGCAGTGTGGCTACACAAAACCCACCTCCTCGAGGCAAGTGAGAAGCACCAGATCTCCGTAACACCTGATGGTCTGACCCACCAGCTGATTATCAAAAACGTTGTGCCTTCTGACAATGGCATGTACACACTCGACACTGGACTCTGCTCCTCAAATGCCTGGCTTATTGTAGAGTGTAAGTGACACTGTGTTGTTCCCGTGGTGTTGGCTTGAGGTGTGTTAAAGAAATAATATTCCTTTCACTGCGTGATTGCTCGCTGGGATGATTCTGTGCCAAGAAATGAACTGTGGAGCCTCTAGTTCCTAAACTATACTTGGAAGAATGAAGGTCTAGTTAGACCCTCTTTCTCTTCAGATGAGACAATTTTTTCCCTTTTTATTAGTCCTGACAAATCCTATTGGCTTATTTACTCCACAGCTACTATGAAGTAGCATGTTCTCCATCAGTTATTGAAGGATATTGATCTCAACATGTGTTTTTGATGAGGCTATCTCTGAACACAGTACAGCATACAGGGGATCAAGGAGCTTTCAAGGGCATCTTGCTAGATAGACAGTATTTTTCTTTCCGAATTAGAGGTTAAATGGGTTAGAAGAAGCTCAGAGGAAGCTGGGGAGATGGGAAACACCCCTTTTAGTGCAAGCAGATTAATAGTTAGCTGGCTCATATTTTTTTGCTTCTGAAAGGTAGTTGCTTTAGTTTCTTTTGAGATCCTGCTGCAGCAAATGGTGGTCTCTCTCATAAAGGCTTTCTGATGACTTTCAGAAACAGTGCAGGTTGAGTATGACACATGAAGAAACTGCCCACTGAGTTCATGGGGCTGTTAATGCTCTACAGAAATTATTTCTATCCTGGGACCTGTTAGCTCCACTGCTTATCTCAGAAAAGCCTGAGCTTTGGATTAATACAAAGCTGTTCACAGAGCTGGAATCTTTAGGCTTCGGGTTGGCCATCTCTAAAATGCCAGGCTGCCAAGTGGGCAAGCTGTCTCAGTAGCAGTGAGACCCTAATTCAAGGGTGGGAACTGCTGGCTGCTCTTGGGGGGGGATATTCTGTAACTCCTTCAGGGATGGAGGGCAGAAGGAACTAAGGAGTCCCAAATACAATCTAAGCCCCTCTAAATTAGACCTGTTCTGCTGGAAATTTCCCTCGGTTTTCTGCTTTTTTTTGTTTGTTTGGTTTGGTTTTTTTAATAAGCATGTTTCCACTAAAAATAATTGTCTTTTTAACTAAGAAATGTAAAATTATGTCTGAATGTGACATTGAAAAAATTCAGTATTTGAACTGAATTTAAATTCATTTAAATATATTAAGTTTCTGTGTCCTAGAATGAAATTATAACAAATGCTAACTCGTTTTCTTTGGTTGATGATGCAGTACATGACCTATTGATTGTCTGTTCTTTTTTTTTCTCTATTTTCCTGTAAATTATATCTCCTCCAATCAAACAATGCATCTTCAATACAGATGCCAAAGGGAAGAGGAGACAGGGTGAAAGAGGCGAAAGAGAGAAATCTGAGTGGCTGGAAGAAACATTGCCAGAAAAAGACAGAGCTAAGAAACTTCGACGCAGAGAATATGTTGATGATGAAGATCATCTTATGGACACTGGCATGGAAAAAGATGGCTGGTACAGAAATGGTCAAGGCCACCCCAGTGATGTTAATGGAAGCCATAGATTTTTGGGAAAAGATGGGCTACGCAAAGCCCACAGAGATGGAAGGACGGGGTTTGGGCAGTTTTCTGGAGCAGACCTAGAAGGAGACTCAATGACAAATGATGGTAGTATCTTTGGATTAAAAGGCTTAGGAGGCAGAAGTAGATTAAGGCCTTTCCATGGCAAGGACTCTGTGACAGGCAGAGCAGATACTGGTGATGAATTAGGAGGAGCAGGTGAATGGTATCCTGTGGATGGCAGAGATGATGGTATGCTGGATGCTGCTAACATTGACATGGATGATGGAGAGGGTTTGGGCTCTCAGCATGACAAGGATGGTAAATTAGGTGATACTAGTTACAGAGCAGGCTTCGGGGGTGTTGGGAGATTAGGTGCTCCTGATGGAAGTTCCATGTTAGATGGACTCGATCCTGATTCAACCAGAGTGGGAGTTGGTAAGGGTGATCTCAGTAGGACTAGTCCAGGGACTGGAGCTAGAAAGAATGCTGCAGGTGCAGAGATTGCAGGAGGAATGAGGTCCCCCTACGGCAAGGATGGTCTACCAACTGTAGCTGATAGGAATGGAGCAAGTATAAATAGAGAGGGACAAACAGGGAGTCCTTATGGCAAGGATGGCCTGACACTTCATGCTAGTGGTCATTTAGGTCAGGCAGGAAGGTCTGCATTGCTGTATGGCCCAGGTGGCCTTCCAGCTGGACATGGGGCTCTATCTGGTGCAGGTGGCAGTTCTATAGGGGAAATGGAGGCTTTGTATGGTCCAGATGGTCAGCCAGTTGGAACAGGTGGTGGTGATGTTGGTGTAGCTGGTGCAGGGGGAGTTGGATATCCCTATGGAAAGGATGGTCTCCCAGCTGGGGCTGGCACTGGTGATGCTGGTGTAGATGGTGTAGGGGCAGTTGGGTATCCCTATGGAAAGGATGGTCTCCCAGCTGGGGCTGGCATTGGTGGTGGTGGTGCAGGGGGAGTAGGGTCTCCCTATGGAAAGGATGGTCTCCCAGCGGGGGCTGGTCTTGGTGGTGCTGGTGCAGGGGCAGTAGGGTCTCCGTATGGAAAGGATGGTCTCCCAGCGGGGGCTGGTCTTGGTGGTGCTGGTGCAGGGGCAGTAGGGTCTCCGTATGGAAAGGATGGTCTCCCAGCGGGGGCTGGTCTTGGTGGTGCTGGTGCAGGGGCAGTAGGGTCTCCGTATGGAAAGGATGGTCTCCCAGCGGGGGCTGGTCTTGGTGGTGCTGGTGCAGGGGCAGTAGGGTCTCCGTATGGAAAGGATGGTCTCCCAGCGGGGGCTGGTCTTGGTGGTGCTGGTGCAGGGGCAGTAGGGTCTCCGTATGGAAAGGATGGTCTCCCAGCGGGGGCTGGTCTTGGTGGTGCTGGTGCAGGGGCAGTAGGGTCTCCGTATGGAAAGGATGGTGTTGCAGCTGGAGGAGGCATTGGTGGTGCTGATGTAGCTGGTGCAGGGAGGGTAGGCACTCCCTATGGAAAGGATGGTCTCTCATCTGGAGTAGGTGGTGTTGGTGCTGGTGTAGCTGGTGCAGGGGGAGTTGCGTCTCCCTATGGAAAGGATGGTCTTCCAGCTGCAGTAGGTGTTGGTGGTGCTGGTGCGGGGGGAGTAGGGGGACTTGGGTATGCCTATGGAAAGGATGGTGTTCCAGCTGGGGCTGCACTTGGTGGTGCTGGTGTAGGGGGAGTAGGGTCTCCCTATGGAAAGGATGGTCTCCCAGCTGGGGCTGGTCTTGGTGGTGCTGGTGCAGGGGGAGTAGGGTATCCCTATGGAAAGGATGGTGTTCCAGCTGGGGCTGCACTTGGTGGTGCTGGTGTAGGGGGAGTAGGGTCTCCCTATGGAAAGGATGGTCTCCCAGCTGGGGCTGGTCTTGGTGGTGCTGGTGCAGGGGGAGTAGGGTATCCCTATGGAAAGGATGGTGTTCCAGCTGGGGCTGCACTTGGTGGTGCTGGTGTAGGGGGAGTAGGGTCTCCCTATGGAAAGGATGGTCTCCCAGCTGGGGCTGGTCTTGGTGGTGCTGGTGCAGGGGGAGTAGGGTATCCCTATGGAAAGGATGGTGTTCCAGCTGGGGCTGCACTTGGTGGTGCTGGTGTAGGGGGAGTAGGGTCTCCCTATGGAAAGGATGGTCTCCCAGCTGGGGCTGGTCTTGGTGGTGCTGGTGCAGGGGGAGTAGGGTATCCCTATGGAAAGGATGGTGTTCCAGCTGGGGCTGGTCTTGGTGGTGCTGGTGCAGGGGGAGTAGGGTATCCCTATGGAAAGGATGGTGTTCCAGCTGGAGCAGGCATTGGTGGTGCTGGTGCAGGGGGATTAGGGTCTCCCTACGGAAAGGATGGTCTCCCAGCTGGGGCTGCACTTGGTGGTGCTGGTGTAGGGGGAGTAGGGTCTCCATATGGAAAGGAAGGTCTTCTAGCTGGAGTAGGTGTTGGTGGTGATGGTCTTGGTGGTGCTGGTGTAGGGGGAGTGGGATATCCCTATGGAAAGGATGGTGTCCCAGTTGGGACTGGACTTGGTGGTGCTGGTGCAGGGGGAGTAGGGTCTCCCTATGGAAAGGATGGTCTCCCAGCTGGGGCTGGTCTTGGTGGTGCTGGTGTAGGGGGAGTAGGGTCTCCATATGGAAAGGAAGGTCTTCCAGCTGGAGTAGGTGTTGGTGGTGATGGTCTTGGTGGTGCTGGTGTAGGGGGAGTGGGATATCCCTATGGAAAGGATGGTGTCCCAGTTGGGACTGGACTTGGTGGTGCTGGTGCAGGGGGAGTAGGGTCTCCCTATGGAAAGGATGGTCTCCCAGCTGGGGCTGGTCTTGGTGGTGCTGGTGTAGGGGGAGTAGGGTCTCCATATGGAAAGGAAGGTCTTCCAGCTGGAGTAGGTGTTGGTGGTGATGGTCTTGGTGGTGCTGGTGTAGGGGGAGTGGGATATCCCTATGGAAAGGATGGTGTCCCAGTTGGGACTGGACTTGGTGGTGCTGGTGCAGGGGGAGTAGGGTCTCCCTATGGAAAGGATGGTCTCCCAGCTGGGGCTGGTCTTGGTGGTGCTGGTGTAGGGGGAGTAGGGTCTCCATATGGAAAGGAAGGTCTTCCAGCTGGAGTAGGTGTTGGTGGTGATGGTCTTGGTGGTGCTGGTGTAGGGGGAGTGGGATATCCCTATGGAAAGGATGGTGTCCCAGTTGGGACTGGACTTGGTGGTGCTGGTGCAGGGGGAGTAGGGTCTCCCTATGGAAAGGATGGTCTCCCAGCTGGGGCTGGTCTTGGTGGTGCTGGTGTAGGGGGAGTAGGGTCTCCATATGGAAAGGAAGGTCTTCCAGCTGGAGTAGGTGTTGGTGGTGATGGTCTTGGTGGTGCTGGTGTAGGGGGAGTGGGATATCCCTATGGAAAGGATGGTGTCCCAGTTGGGACTGGACTTGGTGGTGCTGGTGCAGGGGGAGTAGGGTCTCCCTATGGAAAGGATGGTCTCCCAGCTGGGGCTGGTCTTGGTGGTGCTGGTGTAGGGGGAGTAGGGTCTCCATATGGAAAGGAAGGTCTTCCAGCTGGAGTAGGTGTTGGTGGTGATGGTCTTGGTGGTGCTGGTGTAGGGGGAGTGGGATATCCCTATGGAAAGGATGGTGTCCCAGTTGGGACTGGACTTGGTGGTGCTGGTGCAGGGGGAGTAGGGTCTCCCTATGGAAAGGATGGTCTCCCAGCTGGGGCTGGTCTTGGTGGTGCTGGTGTAGGGGGAGTAGGGTCTCCATATGGAAAGGAAGGTCTTCCAGCTGGAGTAGGTGTTGGTGGTGATGGTCTTGGTGGTGCTGGTGTAGGGGGAGTGGGATATCCCTATGGAAAGGATGGTGTCCCAGTTGGGACTGGACTTGGTGGTGCTGGTGCAGGGGGAGTAGGGTCTCCCTATGGAAAGGATGGTCTCCCAGCTGGGGCTGGTCTTGGTGGTGCTGGTGTAGGGGGAGTAGGGTCTCCATATGGAAAGGAAGGTCTTCCAGCTGGAGTAGGTGTTGGTGGTGATGGTCTTGGTGGTGCTGGTGTAGGGGGAGTGGGATATCCCTATGGAAAGGATGGTGTCCCAGTTGGGACTGGACTTGGTGGTGCTGGTGCAGGGGGAGTAGGGTCTCCCTATGGAAAGGATGGTCTCCCAGCTGGGGCTGGTCTTGGTGGTGCTGGTGTAGGGGGAGTAGGGTCTCCATATGGAAAGGAAGGTCTTCCAGCTGGAGTAGGTGTTGGTGGTGATGGTCTTGGTGGTGCTGGTGTAGGGGGAGTGGGATATCCCTATGGAAAGGATGGTGTCCCAGTTGGGACTGGACTTGGTGGTGCTGGTGCAGGGGGAGTAGGGTCTCCCTATGGAAAGGATGGTCTCCCAGCTGGGGCTGGTCTTGGTGGTGCTGGTGTAGGGGGAGTAGGGTCTCCATATGGAAAGGAAGGTCTTCCAGCTGGAGTAGGTGTTGGTGGTGATGGTCTTGGTGGTGCTGGTGTAGGGGGAGTGGGATATCCCTATGGAAAGGATGGTGTCCCAGTTGGGACTGGACTTGGTGGTGCTGGTGCAGGGGGAGTAGGGTCTCCCTATGGAAAGGATGGTCTTCTAGCTGGAGTAGGTGGTGGTGCTGGTGTAGGGGGATTCGGATCTCTCTATGGAAAGGATGGTGTTCCAGCTGGCGTTGGTCTTGGTGGTGCTGGGGCAGGGGGAGTAGGGTCTCCCTATGGAAAGAATGGTCTTCTAGCTGGAGTAGGTGGTGGGGCTGGTGTAGGGGGAATAGGGTCTCCGTATGGGAAGGATGGTGTTCCAGCTGGCGTTGGTCTTGGTGGTGCTGGTGCAGGGGGAGTAGGGTCTCCGTACGGAAAGGATGGTGTTCCAGCTGGGGTTGGTCTTGGTGGTGCTGGTGTAGGGGGAGTAGGGTCTCAATATGGAAAGTATGGTGTTCCAGCTGGAGCAGGCATTGGTGGTGTATGGTGTTTCAGCTGGAGCAGGCATTGGTGGTGCTGGGGTAGGGGGAATAGGGTCTCCGTATGGGAAGGATGGTGTTCCAGCTGGCGTTGGTCTTGGTGGTGCTGGTGCAGGGGGAGTAGGGTCTCCGGATGGAAAGGATGGTGTTCCAGCTGGGGTTGGTCTTGGTGGTGCTGGGGCAGGGGGAGTAGGGTCTCCGTACGGAAAGGATGGTGTTCCAGCTGGGGTTGGTCTTGGTGGTGCTGGGGCAGGGGGAGTAGGGTCTCCGTACGGAAAGGATGGTGTTCCAGCTGGGGCTGCTGCTGGTGGTGCTGGTGTAGGTGGAGTAGGGTCTCCCTATGGAAAGGATGGTCTCCCAGCTGGTTCTGGTGTAGGTGGTGCAAGAGGTCTTGGTTCTTTATATGGAAAGGATGGTCTCTCAGCTGGGGCTGTGTCAGGAGCTGCTCATTTTCCTTCTGGAGGTGAAGAAGTACTGGGATCTCGCCATGGCAGGGATGGTACGCTGAGCAGATCTAAAGGATATATAGGTGGAGGAGGAGATGGCTTTCCCTCAGAAGGTGGTAGTGGCGCTGGCTCTGCAATACGGAGTGCTGGGTCTCCCTATGGCAAGGACAATGGGTCAGCTGGAGCCGGGGCTGGTGTGGGTGGTGTTGGCAGGTTGGGAGGCGATGAAAGGGTGTTACGTGGTAAAGAAGGTGTGGTAGGTGCTGTTGGGCGAGGTGGTGAATATGGGCTGGATTCACATCCTGGCAAATCTTCTATGGGAGGTGAAACTGGAAAGGGCACTGCCAGTAATTTCAGAGGCTCAGGGAACAAAGGCTCATCTCAGGAGAGAGATTCACTTTCAGGTCAAGGAGATGCCAGGGGTGAGGGCAGAGATTTAGGACATTTCGGCTCCCTGTACGGCAAAAATTCTGCCTTTGGAGGGTCAGGGAGTAAATCCCATAACAGATCTGTTGATGGGAGGAATTCAGGTGGTTTTGGTCAAGGTTTATTGGATTATGGGCAGATGTCAGATCTTTATGGTGGACCTGCTTCAATAAACCAGAGAAAACAGGAACCCAGCCTTGATATTAAAGCAAATGATTTCTTGAAGAATACAGAAAGTGTGGGAAGAAGACGTTATTGCCTAGATGATCTGAAAGGTACGTGTTCAATTGATGACTTCTGTATTGCTGGTCTTTGCATTTTGATACTCACATTCCAAATCCTGGAGAGAAAATGAATCTTATGGCTGAGACTATGGAGCTATATGTAGAAATTTTTTTATACTGAGATCTGTTCCTAATTCTACCACTGATTTGCTTTTTGACCTTACACAATTCACTCTGATCAAACTGCCTTAAAAGTCTGAATGATCTTTGTTTAAAATCCCTAAGCTGGGTATCATCTGTTCATTCAAATAAATGGTTCAAATCCACATGGAGCAGACTTCAGTTCACAAACATACCAGTTCCCATATAGTTTCAAGGAATACGGCCCTGTCTCTTTGATATTGTTCCGATTTAAAACTTATTGTTTCACTTTATTTGTTCTAACATCTAGTGCAAAGACGGGTGTTTTTCCAAGTTCTGGGAACAAAACTGTGCCTGCTTATATTGGATTAATATGCACATTGGGCCTAACGTAACGAGCTCTTTTCTCTTGTAACCTCATAAATAAGAAGGTGTTGCACATAGTAAAAGTAGAGTGATGTGTATGCAGCTATTTGACTAAGACCAGTGGCTACGCGAGCAAGACGATAATGTGAAAACTTTAGAAAGGAGAAACTTTGTATGTATAACCACAGGGGAATGCTCGTCTGATGGACTTGCTGACAAATTAGAAATTACCAAGGCAAGCAAAACATAAATAAAAATAAGGAAGTAAATCAGCAAAATTGGAGTTAATGGGGAAGGAGGTGGGGTGTTTATTAGAGAGGAGATGGGGATGTTAAGGGAGAAGAACTTGAGAAGGGCAAGAGGAACCCAGGGGATAGAGAACAGTGTGACTTGGGGCTGCTCAGGGGGAACTGGTTGGGCAGCCCCGTATCTGGTCAGTGCAGAGGACAAGAATGAAGAAGTGGTATTTCCATATGCAGGAGGAGCCTATTTTTTCCCACAAGACAACTAGCACAGACTTAAAGTAGCAAATCTGTAGATGGAGAATGTGATTTGTGATGAATCCATTGCCCATTAGGTTGATGTTAGGACTATATTGTACGCAGGCCAGCTGGCGCGTCCCTTCAGTGCAATGAGCTTACGCCAGCTGCCCCACAGTGTTGTGGTACAAATGTCTGTCATGACTACAGTATATATATATTTTTTAAAGCTTTTTCTCCTCACATGCATATGCATTTTCATCTCTACATTCCTCTCTGTCAGTGTAACACAGAGTTAGCATCTTTTCAACCTTTTCTTTTCTGAATGTTCAGCACCACGCTGTCATATCAACAAACAGTTACTTGATGTCAGAGTCCTGAAAGGGGAATCAGCTGAGCTGTCGTGCACCGTCAGTAAAGATGAAGTGACAGGAACCTGGTTTAAAGATGGATTAAAGGTAGGTGTCCTCTAGCTACTGTTTTCTTCAGTTAGCCATGCTCTGCTCTCTGGCTCTGCGTCTTATCAAGTGTCATGTCAAGGTGTCCTTCCCTCTGCCAGTCTTACTGCAGTCTGAGCATGGCCCTGGAAGAATTCTGCAGGAGCCTGTTGATAATAAAATTCCTGATAGAAAACCAGCAAGATTTCTCCCCCTTCCTGCTGCAGGACATTTCCATTCTTGCTGACAACAGGAGGCTTTGTGTTTTCCATTCTTTTTCATGGGTGGAGATGGTGTGAGTCTCTTCCTTGCAATGCAATCCTTTTTCTTTTCCTTGGTGAATGGGAGAAATGTGCAAAAAGCGAGGGAATATCTTCAAAGGATCCTTCAGGCAGACATAAAGCCAAGAGTACTCTTTCAAATTAGTGCTTAAGGTTAAGCATAGACGTCATATTCTGCGTTCCAAAACAACACTGAAGAGTAATTCCAGCTGTGGGATCCAGATGATACTGTAGGAGTTCTGAGGTGTCGTACTCAAGCACGGGACAAAGCTTTTGTCATTAAGAATAGAAAGAGAGAGCTCAGAGATCTTAATAAAATTTATTTCAATGGACTTTGAATCAAGTCTTTGTGGGGAGTATGTTGACAATGCTTACATGCAACGTTACCAGGTGAGTAATCCCAGAATATTATTGTAATTCAACTTGCCTGACATTCATAAGTCTTTTCAAATTTGTGTCTGTCCAGTTTAAGTTTGGATTGTCCTTTTATCTTCTTTTTTAAAGAATTTGCCTCTGTGCTTTACCTTGTAGTTAACAAACATGGACGGAATCTATTTTGAAAAGGAAGGTCTGGTCCACAAACTAATTATTAACAAAGTGGAAGATTTTCATGCTGGGAGATACAGGTTTGAAGGTGGAGATACCAAAACTGAAGCTTCAATTTTTGTTGAAGGTGAGTCTATTCAAACTACCAATACAGCACACTAGCCTTGATGTGCTTGAAGTGTAATACTTTTTCTCAGAGGCCTGTAGCTGGTTATTTGAGAGAACTCTATTATAAAGAATTACCATGTAAATGGGAGCTTTTGTACAGGTTGGTGCATTTTGTATTTACCAATTTAACTAGGGAGCTTTCCTGAGTAGCTTCTGTTATTAACTCCAAGATTTTGGGGTGCACGTAACACTTTATCAGGCCAGATTCTTCATTCTTGTGTATTGCCTATGAGAAATTTTCTCCAGTGAAAAGGACAGTATGATACCACAAATACTTTGTGATAATTATCCTGTACACGTATGTATGTGAAGCACTGAGCACGCAACTAAAGGTGAAGGTCCAAATGTCGTGAGCTTCTAAGCATTATTGGCAGCATCATGAGGGAAGCCCTTACCTCCAAGGTGAGCCTTATCCTCTTTGAATTGCAGTTTTTAATGACCTCGTCTTGTCTGCTTAGATCCTCCACAGGTCGACAAAGTTCTCCTCAAAAACTTAACAAGTGTTCCTACTGTGGCCAAGGCAGGGCAGAAAGTAAAGATCAAGATCCCTTTTGAGGGCCGGCTGCCAGTCAGAGCAACGTGGCTAAAGGACAGAATGGAGCTCGTAGATGACACAAGGATTCGTGTTGATAAAACAGAGACTTTTACCATGCTGTCCATCTCCAGCAGTGAGAGAAAGGACTGTGGGGATTACAAAGTCAGGCTGAAGAATGACAGTGGGGTCCTGGAGATCAACTTAAAGCTTGTGGTATTAGGTAAGAGTCCCATAACATCCACTGTGACTTTCATTGTAAAGCTTAGGCAAGGAACCCATTAACAGTCGTGACAATCTTCTTTAGAGCTACTGGGTATTCCAAGATGAGAAAGACTATGTAATTTTCTACTACATCGGGGTACAAGCAAAGATTGTGGATGTGTTTCTTGCCCAAGGTGACATAAATCCAGTTTGGTTTTGCACGGCCTCAGCAGCTGAGTTTTGAATGTTGGGCAACTGTGGGAGATGGGACTACATGCAACAGGCAAATCTAAAATAGATTATCAAGGCCAAATTCAGCCCTTACCATAAATGTCCGTGCTCTTTTGGAACACCAGAAATGGTGTTCTTCCTTACAAGCAAGCTGAACTGGTGCAATGCAGTTGCAGTAGGGCAGGGAAGCCTGCCATGAGGATGGGCTGAGAGAGCTGGGTTTGTTCAGCCTGGAGCAAAGGAGGCTCAGGGGGGATCTCATCACCACGTCCCAGTACCTAAGGGGGAGCTCTCTTGGGGAGATTCTGACTGGACACGAGAGGGAAATTTTTTTTACCATTGGAACAGTCACCCACTGGAATAATCTCCCCAGGGGAGGGGTTGACTCCACCGCATTGGACGCTTTGAAGACTCAACTGGACAGGGTGCTGGGCCATCTTGTCTAGACTGTGATCTTGCCCAGAAAGGTTGGGCCAGATGATCCTTGAGGTCCCTTCTAATCTGGGATTCTAGGATTCTATGAATGTTTATGAGAACAACTAGTCTATGGAGCAAGGGCCTGGCTTTCCCCAAACTTATCAAAAGTTAGAAGAGCAGGAGTTTTGAAGAGGCAATTCAAGTGCGTAGGCCTCATTCTGCAACTATGCATGTATTCCATCAGAAACTGAGTCTCCTAGCTGGTGAGCAAGAGACAGTGTCTGCTCCAAACCCAGGAGCACCTCTGGGTCTGAAGACAACTCATAGTCTCTCTGTGTTCATCTTTTCAGACAAGCCACAGCCACCTGCAGGACCCATCAAAATTGTAGAAAGCTCTGCAAGTGACATCACCATTCAGTGGAAGCCCCCAAAGGACGACGGGGGCAAACCACTGCAAAGCTACATTGTTGAGAGACAGCAGGTGGGCAAGAATGACTGGGTGACTTTGGGAGAAACCCCCAGGAGCTGTACTACCTTCACTACTAACAAAGTGGAACAAGACATGAGCTACTACTTCAGGGTGAGAGCTGTGAATGTCGAGGGCACTAGTGACGCACTGGAATCGGAGGAAGTGAAGGCTGTCAGTAAAGGTAAGGAAGAACTTCTCGTAATTGTGTTCAACAACTATCTGGGAAATTCATTATCAAAGTGGACATCAAAGAAAACTCACTGCATTTTCCATGTTGCTACAGTTCTAAACTTGAAGCCTGGCTGTGAAGTCTTCATGCAGATCTGTGGAGATTGCGCATCGAGACTAGAAATTTATTGTAGGCTTTGGTGATGCTGAGTGAGGCGGTGTTAGGTTCTCAGTTATGCTCCATTCTGAACTGGAAAGCAAGTTTCATTGGGGAAATGTAATATTTATCAAGATAAGAGAAAATTTTTCCGAGGGTGGCTACAAAGGGAACATGTGAGGCCTTTTCTTAACTCCATAGGCAAAGGAGTGTCTCTGTATGTGCTGCATTTTTCAGTATGAACCCTTCGTTCCCCTGATTTCCAAGCAGCTAATTCTATTCTTTGTCCTTCAATGAATTTAAATACTAGAACAGTTTTGCCATGAGCATGAATGTAGTGCTAGAGAGAAAGCATGAGCATGAATGTAGTAGTGCTAGAGAGAAAGCAATGCTCTATTCTATTACTAATTTCTTCTTTTTCCATTCTCCTACTCATGATTATGAGAAGCCCTGTATTTTGAGTGCAGAGGGATAAGAATATCCATTCTGTTTCCAGTTTCTGTCTTTAAAAGCAAGAATAAGCTGACTTTTCCAACCGTGTAAGAAGGCACATGCCTCACTCCACAGGCTGACAGTGGAATTCTCAGTTGTGATGACAGCAGGCCATTCATGAAAACAAAATTCAGGATCCATGCTGGGTCCTGTTTGTGTGGGGAATAGATAGACCGCCTTAGGTCTCAGGTTTTCAAAACACATCCATAGGAATACCTTGGGGAAACGGGAAGAAGAAACGACACAGAACACTTATGTTGCTGTAAAAATATACCTGCTAATAATGAAATGCTAATCTCTTTCTAGCTTCACCTGGTGCCCCAGATCCCCCTGAGATTGTCAGTGCCAGCAGAGACACCATCACAATATCCTGGAAAGCACCTCGTAAAACTGGCAATTCCCGAATTGTGGGATACATCATTCAAAAGCGCAAGAAGGGTACCACAACCTGGCTGCCAGTCAACAATGTGCCTATAGCAGGTAGGTAGTTTAAAGCCTGGAACAGACTGGAAGACTTGAAAAAGACAAAAAGGTCAGCTGGATTCAGGAGGTAACACGCTGATCTTTGTGGAGTTGCTGCCTTCTAACATCTTGCTTTCCGCTTAGGATCTTACACCTTTCCACTTCAGCATTTTTTCTCTTGAATTCTCAAGCTGCTGACTGTCCCCATCACAACCGTATTACCCCTGCCTGAAGTTCTACCTTCTTAGCTTTCACAGCTCTAGTGTACATGGTTTTTCACAAGTAAGGTTACACAGTGGTGCCATAGCAAAGCCAGGCCTTCCCTGGTTTTATATACAGCTGAATGCCTGGCAGGAGGATTATGATTTTTTTTTCTAGATTGTGTACAAGCATATGGCTGGAGAAGAGTGTGAAGCAGCTCACTGCTGCATCCTGGGACATAGCTCCTCCATAGATAAACTGTTGTCTTCATTTTCTGGAACTGAAGTCTTCACTTCACATGCAAAACTATTGTCCTTAGTCTTCTCGCTAGGAACCTGGCAGACAAGAATTTATAAATGGAAGGAAGATAAAGAAACCCAAGTGATGTGTGTGAGCTCCAAAATGTGTTTTGACTATAGCTATCAGTTATCTATCAGTTGCAAGCTAGGACTTCTTATCTGGTATAGAAGAGTTTAGGATTATCCCATGAGGAAAAGCAGTATTTATCCTTTCTCTAACTTAACAGCTCTCAAATACTGTTTGATTTGAAAGGGAATACAATGAATGCATCCCAGAAGCACTCACACACTAGGATAGGGAAGGGCAGGGGAATCGGCGACAGCTCCTAACAATTATTTGGTCCACAGTTCTACATGGAGTAAAGTACAACATTATTGTCTCACCCTTTCCTGTTTGGGGAAGAGCTCACCTGAGCCAACATGCTCCTTTTCTTTCTGCAGACAAGAAGCTGAAAATGACCAATCTCAAGAAAGGTCTGCAGTATGAATTTCGTGTGGCAGCTGTCAATGCTGCTGGCATAGGAGATGCCAGTGAACCATCACGGCCTGTCTTTGCACGGGATTCCACAAGTAAGTGCACTGCCCCCAACCTTCTGGCTTGGCGATGTGTGAAAGCTGGTGATGGAGACTGGCAACGTTGCTGGAGAGGCAATGTTTTTAAGTGTTTTGTAAAAGTACATGAAGACAAAGATCAAACAACTGGGGAATGTTTCATGGCTGAGAGCCCGCTATCAGCGTGAGGAAGGAATGGAAGGATTTCCTGTGTGATGTCTAAGTTGAGATGTGGCAGACTCCCTGTGGGGGGGTTACGTGCAGTGTGGAGAAGTATTCAGGGTGGTATGCAGGCTGTTTCGGGCGTGTTGCAGATTGTACTGCATGGCTGGTGGGAGCAGGCACCTGATTCCAGCTTTGAAGAACTGGGACAAGGTGGAGGTCAGACAGCAGGGTGGATATCCAGTGCGCTTCAAGAATGTTGGGGAATCTCAGGAAGTGACTGAAAAGAGGGGACAGAAACCCTGGAAAAATAGTTTAAATACAATTTCTCTTTTCAGAATCTCCGGGTCAAGTGCAGGACCTTAAAGTGAGCAGCAGTGACAGCACTAGCATCACCTTGACATGGAAGAGACCTGAAGCAGAAGATGGGGGTGATGTGAAAGGCTATGAGGTGGAGATGCGGTCTTCTAACAACCTCAACTGGACCAAATGCAATAGTCTTCCCATAGAGGTGACCACTTACACAGTTAAAGGCCTCCAAGCCAAGGAGATATACTTCCTGCGTGTGAGAGCCCTCAATGACAGTGGCCCAGGAGAAGCCACAGAGCTCGAAGCTTGCATCGAAGCTGCTCTCCCTGTGGGTAAGTCCAAGTGGGCTGCTTTCAGAATGAACGAGGTCATTCTATATGTAACAGGATGCAGGCAAGGTCTGTAGGTCACTGTGACAAGCTTCTTTCAAGTCCCAGACTAGCAGAAGGGCACCTACTACATTGCTCCTCTAGAATATGGTCTTATTTGGTCACCTCATCAGGAAATTCTGAAGATTTAACTGATAATAAATGTGCAGTGCAGAGTGTTCAGCTCATGTTAAAGACTCATCATGATAAAAGAACCCCCCAAACTGTATTTTCTCCTCGGATTTGCATGTTGTCCCCTGTGCAGAGCTATACCACAGTAATGATCACCAGACAGAAACAGCACATACCTTGTGCCTACCCCTGCTCTTTTAAGGGAAAAACAGAGTTTTCAATCTATTTTTATAGAATCTTGTGGAATTAGACATTTTATTTCATTCTCTTAAGTCACAGTTATGTTGGGTTTTGTAAACTTTATTTTCCTTTTTCATTTTCTAATTTGAAAGTTTTCACCTTTTTTACTTTCCGGCTCTCTAGGAACGTTGCAGAAATACAGAAGTAGGAGATAATTCTGTGAGGGATTCATTTTCCTTAACTTGGGTCCTAAGTGACAAAGTCTACTTTTGGCCTTACCTAGAGACTCCTTTTAAAATCAATCAGTAAATAGATAAAGATAAGTCCATCAGGGAAGCAGGTTTTTTGGGTTTAAACTGGAAATGCTAAATACAATTTAGCACTATTGTGTCTGACATTTTTAGAAAAATGCTAAATGCAATGGTATATTGATGAAAAGAAAGAAAAAAGATTTTAAATACTAAAAAAGATTATTTTTAATAAACTCAGGCTGGTTTCTTGAGTATACCCTGTACTCTGTATTGCACATATATTTCGTCAGAGTCCACTGCAATTTCCTTTTCACCAGATGTCATTTTACACAAAAGATCATCCATGTGGTGGGGTAAAGTGTGTTAAAGAGCTAATTTCTCTGTGATTGAGACATCATGTGTATACAAACATCGTTGTGAATGTGTTTTTACATCGTTTTCCCCTTGTTTAGTCATAGTGATAAATAAATAGTAATAAAATTTGAAAGGTTCTGGATCAAGGAACTTTTTTCCATAGTACCACTATGGGTGTATCAACAGCCTGCAGACTAGCTGTGGGAAAGGCGTTAGGGGTATTGAGCACGTGCATATGAGTTTGTCAGCCAGGGACTCTGTAATGATGTACAACTTTTTATTGTAATCACTGTCTTTTCCAGTTTCTCCCAGGTTACTAATAGATGACACAGTGAAAAACTTCCTGGTTATAAAAGCAGGAAATACCATCCGAGTGAATATTCCCTTTGAAGTAAGTGTTTGTAAGAAGTCCCCATCTGGTTTTGTGTTGTAGGCAATAGCAGACATGAAAACTGAGCTACTGTTTTCTTGGCATGGAATTTTGTTTACAAGACACTGGGCAAATCCTTAAACTGCCTGCACTGGGGCTACTTTCTGCATGAGGAAAACACGAACAGGAATTCAGCTGTCACTCTTGGCATTGGTGTTTGATGAGATTATGGTCATTCATTAACCTCTGCAAACAAGGCACAATGCTGTCCATCCAACCATATCAATATTATCATCATCTGGTACTAATCTGCCGTACTTAGAGTTTAAAAATCAGTCGATTTCTCTCTGGCTCCCTTGGAAGGCCCTGGGGTAGCATTTCTAGCAACATCCTCTTGACTGTGTTTGTCTTAGTAAGCAGCAGGACGTAGGCTGTATGCCTTGGGAAATAGGCATGCACTGACAGAAATCCTGGGTGCTTTGATGTAAGCTGGGATATCCAGAAGAGGTTGATGAAGGCCAAGTGTGCATATTTGCTGGCCTTTCTCCTAATCTCTTGGAGAACAGAGACCAAAGATGGCACCATGGAAATGAAGACCTGAAGGATGGTTTTTCTTTCCAAAACTGGCAGATCTTTTTAAAAGTAGAAAATATGAACTACTGATATCATCTGTTGTTCTTGATCTAGCACGCCTTGTTTGACATGGTTAACCTGAACGCCTTGCCACAACAGCATTCTTAAAAGACACAGAGAAAGAGAAAAGTTACAAGGAAATGTTAGAGCAGCCCTTTATCCAGGGCTCTTAGGTCCATCTTCGATCCATATTTCTAAATATTACTTTACTGTGTCATGCAGGTGTAGATTTGGGACAAGATAATGAAACTAAAGAGGCAAAGACGCAATCTGGAGGCAAAACAAGTGGGCTATAACATGTGTTGTTCTTTACAGGCATCTCCAGATCCAGTGGTGACCTGGTTGAAGGATGGGCTTCCTCTTCCAAACAGGGCTACAATAAACACCAAAGATGGTACCACCCAGCTGCTGATTGGAGAAGCTGAGTTTGCTGACAGCGGCATCTACACCGTTGAGCTCCAGAATGCCTTAGGGAAAAGTGAAAAATTCAGCTTCCAAGTTCAAGTTACAGGTAACTCACTCACTACCGGATATACACACAGATTTACTGCAAACAGTCAGCAGCGAACAGTGTTCAGCACGGTGAGCTCTGATGCAGTTAAGCCATGCAGGCAGAGGGAGAACTAGAGTGCAGGTTTCCATAAGATTCAGTCTGGCCACTTTGTGATATGCCTTGGCCGTGTCTGCAGGACAGAGGAATCTACTGATTAAAATTACACCCATCTTCCAGAGTGACTCTGCTTAAAAAGGCCAGGTCACGCGGATGGATAGTGCAAACCACAGGACAGCAGTTCATGCACTTTGTAACAGTCTAAGGTTAGGCAGCAGCAGGCTGTAGGACATTTAGTAATAGCTACAGCAACTCTATATGCTGTCTGCCTAAGACGTGAAAAAGTTTAGCTGTACCAACCCTCATCTCCTCCCTAGAAGAAGGGGAGGAGGCCCAGCAATGCCCATGTAATGCAGCAGAAGTTCAATTAACAGCAAATGAGCTGCTGGAGAAGGAATCAAATTTTTGTCCCTTCTAACGACCAGGATGTTTACTCAGCCCTGAGACAGATAATGGACTCAAAGTTTTTAGGGTTCTGTACATTGCTGCTTTCCCTAGATCTTTGATATTCTTTGACAGATATCCCGCAATCACCTGGACCGATTCAATTGGAAGAGAAAGTGCCAAATACAGTGACAGTAACCTGGGAGCCTTCAGCATCTGAGAAATGGGAAAATAATCTCTACTACACAGTCCTGAAACGGGAATCACAGAAGGGCTTGTGGCACGTGGTGGGTGACCTGATCTACACCAACAAGTTCACATTCACCAAACTGATCCCAGGCCGGGACTACTACTTTAGGGTCGTGGCAAAAAATTACTTGGGAGCCAGTGGTCCATCTGAAACTGCGCAGCCTTGGAGAATTAAAAAAACAAAGGGTAAAACAATGTTTACAAATAGCTATCTGTGTGCTGTCCTGCTTTGTTTCTTTTACTGTTTATAACATGCCATCCTGAAAAGGGTCTCTCCTCCTGTGAACACTTAGTTGCCCAGAACAAGAATGCATAGAGATACCCTAGGAAATTCCAGTTTGGCAGGGAAGACTTGTCATTTCTGCATGGGCATTGTGCAGATCGATCCTTTATTTCCAGCCGTTGTATCATGTAATTTTCCACACAAATAATTTCCAGCAAAATCTAAGGCTTAAGTTTTGCAGAAACCAAAGTTTCTGACTTCAGAATTAAATTCTGGCTAATTTGAGAAGAAAAACAGATTTCAATCCATAGGTGCATGGGATCCCTGGCAATTTGCAGTGCAGAATGCCAGATGTTCTGCACAAGCGAGTGTCATGATTGCAAACCAGTCCTTTAAACCCTGACTTCCGTTGCTGTGAAGCAGTATCTCAGTGTGTGTTTGTGTTGCTGGTTTTTTCTACAGCTGAATTTCAAGTCAAACCACAGAAATACCGGAGTGTTAATCAAAATCAGCCCCCCAGATTCCTTGTCCCGTTGAAGCCTCATGTGGTGACTACTGGGAGTGAGTGCCAAATGAGCTGTGCAGTTGGAGGCCATCCAGCCCCAAAGATCACATGGTACAAGGATGGTAGAGACCTCTCCACTGATCCTAACTATTTTTGCACAAACAACTTTGGTGTCTGCTCCCTGGTTGTCATGGGTGTCACAAAACATGATGAAGGAGAATATATGGTAGAAGCCACCAATGAATCGGGCCGTGCATTCAGCAAAGCCTTCCTCGCTATTAAAGGTAACAAACTATAATGCTTCTCTTCCTTCATTGTGTGATGTCAGGATATGTCATTGCTGTCAAGATGCCTTATAAATGGTAGCCATACAACTTTATTTGCTGACAACAGCAATGTCCAAGGGCAATGAGCCAGCATTGTACACAGGTGGCCAAGAGGGCCAGCGGCATCCTGGCTTGTATCAGGAGTGGTGTGGCCAGCAGGAGCAGGGCAGGGACCGTGCCCCTGTGCTGGGCACTGGGGGGGCCGCCCCTCGAATGCTGGGGTCAGGGTTGGGCCCCTCCCTCCCCAAAGGACCTGGGGGGGCTGGAGCGTGTCCAGAGAAGGGCAGCGGAGCTGGGGAGGGGTCTGGAGCCCCAGGCTGCTGGGGAGCGGCTGGGGGAGCTGGGGGGGTTCAGCCTGGAGCAGAGGAGGGTGAGGGGAGCCCTCATCGCTCCCTACAATGGCCTGAGAGGAGAGGGGAGCCAGGGGCAGGGCCGGTCTCCGAAGTAACAAGTGATAGGACGAGGGGGAATGGCCTCAAGCTGCACCACAGGAGGTTTAGGTTGGATATCAGGAAAAATATCTTCACTGAAAGGGTTATCAGGCACTGGAAGGGGCTGCCCGGGGCAGTGGCTGAGTCACCATCCCTGGAGGTGTAGACAAGGTGCTTAGAGACCTGGTTTAGTAGTGGACAGATATGGTTGGACTCAATGATCTTAAAGGTCTTTTCCAACCAAATGATTCTATGATGCTGTGATAAGGTGGTGTATATTTGGAGTGCTTTATTGAATGTTTAATTAACCTACTAGTGATCAAATGTGAAAGAGAAATAGGAATGAAAAGGCAGACATGAGAAAAACACTTGATTTCTACATGAGCCAGAGGTTTTGCTTGACCTTGAGCAAATCTTTTAGAAAGAAATATCCCATCTTCATTTAATAAGATAAGATCTAGGTTAGATTTTTAGGAGCTGCAGAATAGAAGATCCTGCAAGATGTACAAGGTGAAGCAGTGAGGAGAAAGCTGGTGTTAGGTGGCCAGAGGCAATGAGAAGGGAGGAAAGTGAAAAATGTGGTGTGAGTTGAACGGGGTCATTGGGGGTGCTGATGTGAACACAGAATCAGTGCAGTGGACTGAGGACAGATGTGTGGTGGATACGCTTAACGGGTAAACATCATTGGCAATTTTACTCAGTTCATTATGAAATGCCCTTTACTTGGAGTCAAATATTTTCCTTTTAATGCAATTCAGGACACCTCATTGGGATTATATGAGTGGAGAAATGGGTCAGTTAAATCCCTGTAGTCTTTTTGCTGACATTGGTCTTTTTGGCCATGTAACACTTCAGGTCCCCCTTCCAGCGTATCTTACAGATATCTCCCTCATTACAATATTGAGCCACTTCTCTCTTTCTCTTATTTTCAGACTCCACCCTGTAGCATGACCTTCCTGAGAACAGCTCTGCACTACTATGGCAAGGAGAAGTTTTCACCGAGAACTGGCTCTATACGAAGGCTACGTATTTATTTTCAGATGCGCATTCTAGTCTGAGTGTTTTATTTTTCAGATCCAGTAGTTGCATTTTGAACATGATGCTGCATGGTAGTCAAAATGGGGAAAAATCTTTGAGAATTGTATATTTTTTCTAATGGTCATGGCTTCCCACTAGACCTTTAAACCCCAGATGAGAAGCTTCAGGAGCACAGAAGATGAGAGGAAAAATAATTGGCCAAAATTAAACTTTCCATGGAGAACACAGGTGTGAGAGGTCATTCTGCCACACCGCTCACCTGCTGTCAGGCTGCAACAAGAATATTTCTTGATGCAGAGTTCTGTGAAGCTGGCCTTTTAGCGTGTGGTTGTCTAATCCGAAGCAACCATTTTAGATTCCATGCAATTCTCAGCAGGTTTCCCAATTCTGGTAGAAGCAATTCCTCATGTATTCCACTACCAGTAGCAGCTAAGTGTATTATTTCCCTTAACCTCTAAGCTGAAAAGAGAATCTGCCTGCTAGTTTTAACCGGGCAAGAGGTAAATTCTCAGACTAGGCTAACATGGGGCAGTGCTACTCGCAGTGAAAATTCCATTGGTGGGAATTAATGGAAACCTAGAACCAGTTGTATTAGTGTAAGCAGTTCAATGCTCTCCTTAAAAAACCTACTATAGCAAGTGCTGTAAACAAGGATGTATCAGTCCTAAGCTACCATGTTAGTATCGCCTTTGAAACGTAACTGCCCCTACCTCACGACATGGCTAGAATGTCTTTGCCTAATGCAAAAAGAGGTTAAAAATCCTTCATGTTTGACCAGAAATATGAGGTACCACCAGAGAGCCTCTGCCGTGGCTGGGGGATTCCATCACTGAGCAGAGAAGGAGACTGGAAAGCAAAAATGTTACGATGACTGCACGTATGTATAGTGCTGTAGCCTTACCACCAAAGGTACTTTGGTGATGGCATCTAGAAGATGGGAGAGTCTAGGTCAAAGACTCAAAGCCTCTGGACCCTCAGACAGCCAGTCAAACATTTATGCGGGGCTGAAATGTTCTTTTTGATTATATTTTGTACAATGTTGTACAGACATAGCAACGGTAGATTATGACATTAAACCATAATTCAGTAAAATCTACCATGAGTAAGTGTTTATTTGGAGAAAGAAGCCCAGCCAGTTCCTGGATGCCAGTTTATGTCTGTTGCAACAGTGCTTTCATGTGTAATGGCTATGCAAGTTCCCCCCTCACCCTGTATTGCGTGTGTGAGTTCCTGTTTAGTCTTGGAAGAACAGAAGAACAACAGATACAAAGCTTTTGTAAGTTTATTTCTCACTAATATCTGAGCATGCCGATGCAGTGGCAGAGTAGTGCAGTCTCTAATCATGCAAATTAGATTTGAAAAATATAATAATGTGCACGGCAGGATAAGCCAGCCACTTCCTCCTGATGGGGATGTGCTCATGGCAAGTGATCTCACGCCTTCTTCCTTGAAGCCATCAATACCAGCTGCTACTGGGAACATTTATTTTGCAGGCTAATCTTAAGCAAGGATTGTTTTATTTATACCATGGTAACCTTCACCACTCTGTTGTGACCCCTGTCTCAGGCCATCCCTGATCCCCAGATGAAGCCTGTGTACATTCCACGTGTTGCACGCAGGAGAGGGCTACTCCCCTTTAAGCATCTGCTTCCATCAGGGGCACGACTGTTCTTCCCTTTCCCACTGCGTGTGGGCACCTCTGGTTTGTGCTCCCTCTGGTTTGTGCACCTCTGGGCTGCTGAACGCCCCCCTCCCAATCCTGGTACAGAAACTGTCTCCCAGGAGAGCGGGGCTTCCAGGACTGCCAGTGGGCACCCACCTGGCTCCAGCCCTGTAGCATGTACCGTCCCACAAAAATGGGTAGGGCAGTGCCGGTGCCCGGCCTGTGCTCTTCACCACGCTGAGGCCACTTGTCCCTGATACGCTGACATCTTGAGCAGTGTTGGTAGCCAGGTCAGTCAAGTCCCTTCATGTGCTACTTGTCCAAAGAGCATGGAGACTGGGCATCAACAGCACATGTCCACTGAGCCATCTGCCGTGGTTCCAGGGGTGAGATGGGTGTATGTGCTGGGCCAGGAGCATGGGACCATGGTCAAGAGCAAGTGCCTGTTGCTACTGCTGAAGGACTCCTTCATGCTCAGTTGGGACCTGCAAGTGCTGCACCTGGAGGAGGGTCCATCGGGATTTAGATGTTTCTTCTGAGGTGACCTGCTGCTCCATGCAAAGAGGGAAAATTAATTCCTGCAAGGAGTGGGACATGCTGCTCCCTTCCTCCCTTGGAGGAGGACCATCTCCGTTTCTGCCTCCCTATTGGCAATGACCTGGTTATCTTCCCTGTAACCCACGTGTTTATGGATCCCAGCGGGCTTGAGTTAGGTTCATAACTGGAGATGCACTTGCTGCTGTTTGTACTCTGAAGAGGAGAGTACAAGATGTACTTACTTACTCTGTAAGAGGAGAGACATGCTTTCTTGCAAGGCTGAGTGACAAACACCAAGTTTTCACCAGCTTCAGGCTGACTTACGCTGGTGAAGATGCTGTAGGAGCCTGTGGTAGTTTCTGTGAGGTGAATGTGCAGCAGTGGGGTTACTTTTGCCATTTTCTTCTTGACTGACAAGCATAAGGGCCAGTGGCCTGAACATTTGAGACTGAAGCCTGAGTGATGTCCGGAAGGACCTGGCACCCTGGGAGCAGAGGGCTCTCACAAGTCTTACTGAGACTTGCAGACTTATCCCCGCGCACGGATGTCGGCATCGATTCAAGCTATTCCTCTGCCGTTATTCTCTTGAATGTTTTCTATTCCAGCCCCATGTGCTTAACGCACTGGAACTTAACTCCTGGGGAGCGGGGCCGAGCCAGTCGCGTCACGCGGGGCTGCGGGACAGGGGCCCCGACTCGTCGTGTCAGTAATTCAGCAGGGCAGGGGTTGTGTGCACAGGTAAGGCTTGTGCATGAGAAATGGCCAGGCAGCCTGAGAAGCTGGTCAGTGAGCCTTTCGAAGCCAGCAGCGCTCCTCGTTTATCCTGGGCACTTTGGTTGTGCTCCCGCTCCCAGGAATCGCCCTCCGCAGTGGAGGAGAGGAAAGCAGGCTGCAAAAGCCTCGGGATCTTCAGAGATGTCCTGACCTCTGTTTTTCTCATTTCTTGTAGTGAAAGTTGTCTCACCTAGGTCCCAAGCCAGCTCTCTGGATGCCGGCAGCCATCCACAGAGAGGAAAGCAGGCTGCAAAAGCCTCGGGACCTTCAGAGGTGTCCTGACCTCTGTTTTTCTCATTTCTTGTAGTGAAAGTTGTCTCACCTAGGTCCCAAGCCAGCTCTCTGGATGCCGGCAGCCATCACCCAGTCGCTGGCACAGCTGAGAGGGAGGAATCGTCTTTTGCATCCCTGATGCTGCTCGATTGCCACTGGCTCAGCAAAAGGATCTCATGCCATGCTCCCTGCGGGCTGGCCAACTGCTGCCGGCACCCCGGGGGGGGCTGAACTCGTGCTCCAGCATGGGGGCACT